TGTTCTTCAGTTCTTTCTGACTCCAGCTCCTTGCACATTTCATTGTAATATTTTGCTTTTTCATCCCGTGCTGCCTTTTGGAATCTTCTATTCAGCTCTTTAGTATCTTGAATTCTTCCTTGTGCATTATCACTATTATTAAAGGAGCTCTGGTGGCCTTGAGATAAGGAGCTTTATGGCAATCCCAAAGGCAAGCAGTTCAAATCCACCAGCTGCTCCATGGGATGGAACAATTTCAATGGGAAATCTTCATCCATGCAATTAAATTGCCTCTGAAAACCCACTGGAGGGTCAACTATGGGTCCATTCTGACTCAATGGTACACAGCAACTATTATTAAGAGCTCGTCAGAGAGATAATAAAAACATGAGATAATCAGGGATACCTAAACCGCTTGGAATTTTATTTCATTAATCTAGTATTTCTGGAGAGCTAACAATGTTGCAGTCTGCAGAGAGTTGCACACCTAACCCAAACTCAGTGTCCCTCTCCAGCAGTTCAAATCCACCCAGGACCTCTGGGGCAGGGAGGTGGTGTGCAGAGGCCAATAGTCTCCTCCCAAGCAAATCACAAGCTCTGGATACCTCCTGGAGGGTCAGTTATGAATCACCTTTGACTACTGGGCAATGAGGAGACATTTCTATTAGATTAGTTATTGTTGTTAAGTACTGTTCAGTGGTTCCCAACTCACAGTGACCCTATGTACAAAAGATTGATTGGTTGTGGTGGTTTCTGTTGTTAGGTGCCATTGAATGGAGTATGACCTGTAGTGACCCTACGAACAATAGATCTGAACCTTGTCCTATTGTGTGCCATTCTCGTACTTCCTGACACATAAGGGCCCAATACAGCAGTCACTGTGTCAGCACACCTGCTTGAGGGTCTTCCTCTCTCTTGCTGACCCTCCACCTTTCCAAGTATGATATTCCTTTCCAAGGAATAGCCTCTCCTAGCAACATGCTCAAAGTATGAGATGAAACTTTGCCTCCAAGGAGGATTCTGGCTGCACTTTCTCCAGGAAACATTTGTTTGTTCATTTGGCAGTCCATGGGAAATTCAGCACCACAAAGACCTCAATAATTCTTTGGTCATCTTTATTCATTATCCAGCTCTCAGATGCATAGCAGGTAATTGAGAAGTCAGGTTCACCTTAATCTTCAAACTGACATCGTTGTCCCTTAGTAATTTGGAGAGGTCCCTGACAGCAAGACTTGCCCAGTGCAATACGTCTCCTGTTCTCCTGACTGCTAGCACCAAGTGTATTGATTGTGGATCCAAGTAGGATGAAATCGTTGACAACTTCAATCCTTTCTCTGTCTTATCATAATGTTGCTTCTTGGTCCAATGTTGAGGGGTTTTATTTTCTTGATGTTGAGATGAAATCCATATTGAAGGCTGCAGTCTTTTATTTTTTGCAGCCTGGGTTCAAATTCCAGCTTCATCCCTTACCCACTCTAGGCAAACTACTTTTTGTTCCTCATTTTCTGCTTCTGTTAAAAAAATTAAACAAAAAAGACAGTTGTTATTGTAGAATGAGTATAAGGATCCAAGACAAGGGAGGGTGGAAGCAGAAGGATGGGGGGGAGGAATTAATCATGAAGTTGTACAATTTGGTGAGTGGATGAGGGAAATTGGAAGAATTAGTTCTCAAAAGAAATGTATTCAAATTTTGTAAATAAACTAGTATATATTTTTAAAAAAGATAGTTGCTATTAAGTGTCAATGATGCTATGTATTACAGAGAACTGTTCATTATGTTTTCTTGTCTGCAAACTTTTTTAAAATTTTAGTTGATATTTTAACAAAAGTTTATAGAGAACTTGGATTTCCATTCATTCATTGTTGTACATTTTCCTCCCTATCCATCCCGTCAGTTCACTTTTCTCTTTGAAAAAAATGCTTTCGTTGTTGCACAATTTCCTCCCTTCCCCTACCTCCAGTTCACTTAGCTATGCACCTCTTATTCTGGACTGCTGTCATGCAAATAATACCGAATCATGTATTTCTTTTAGACAGTTCTTTACCTCATCTATTTCAATGCTGTATACATTATTTATCCCTTCTTTTCTTAGTTTCCCTCAACCCTCATGTCAGTCCCATTTTATAACAGTGGCATTATGCAGTATTTGTCCTTTTGTGACCGAGATATTTCATTCAGCATAATGTCCTCTAGGGTCACCTGTTTTGTGTAATAGTTTATGAGTTCCTTGTTTTTCAGTGCTGCATAGTATTCCATTGTGTGAATATACCACAGCTTTTCTAGTCATTTGTTTGTTGATGGGCTCTTGGGTTGTTTCCATCTCTTTGTAATTGTGATCAATACAGGAATAAACAGATGTGCTTATATCTGGGTGGCAGTTCTAAATTCTTTAGACTATATTCCTAGTAGTGGAACTGCTGGATCAAATTGTATTTCTATTTCCAACTTTTTTATAAAGTGCCATACAGCCTTCCATAGGGGTTGCACCATTTTACACTCCCCTCAACAGTGAATAAGCGTTCCAGTTTCTCCACAACAGCACCAGCATTTGTTGTTTGCTGCTCTGTTGAATTTTGCTATTGTTACTGGGGTGAGATGATATTTCATAGTTGTTTCGACATCTGTAAACTTTATGTAACAGGCCAGTAGGTCTTCTTTTTTTTTATTAAATTTTATTAGTTTTAATGAACATTTACAGAGATTTTGGGTTTTCATTCATTCATTGTTGCACTGTTTTCTCC